GTGAAAGTAGAAGTAGGTTCAGAAGGAAACATAGATAAGTAGGAAAGTTCTGGATGTAATGTTAAATTTGCTATATATATATTTTTTGGGAAAAAAAGAATCTGTGTAGGATTCACAGTTTTTCATACAATCATTTTTTTGTTCTTTGTATATGGAGGCATCCTTTTTATTCTTATTTGGGGGGTTATTTGTTAAGTCTGGAATAAAAATAAAATTAATAAAATGTTTGCAAATAATTAAAAATAAAATAAAGGGATAAGGTTAAATGACCTCTGAAGTTCATTCCAGGTCTGGATCTATGATCCATTAATAAATCAATCAATAAGCTTTAGTTATGTTCCTACTCTGTTCCGGGTATTGTGCCAGACATGGGAGATACCAAGACAAAACCAAGAAAACATATTTGCCTTCAATATTGTCTTCAGGGAGCTTTCTTCTCCTGGAGGGATGAAATGTATTCATGCAAAAGTAAATACAGAACAGATACCAAAAAGTGCAACATGATTGGGAGTTGTGGGGGGGGGGGGAAGATGTCAGGCTACTGGGAGGGAAACCAAGGAAGGACTCTTAAAGGAAGTACCATTTGTATATAAAAGGAAGAAGACAGGAATTCCAGGAGGCTATGGTCAGGAAAGGAAGCATTCTAGGAGGAGGGGATAGTACATTTTGGGAAAGACATTGATGACTTGAATTGGTAGCAATTATGAAGTTGGTGTGGATGAGAATGAACTATTTTTCAATTTCTCTATGTATTCCCAGCTCCCAGTGCAGGTCTTGGCATATATAACACTGAATTGGACTTGATTGGGTGAAGTTGGAATTCCAGCTGAGCTATTAAAAATCCTAAAAGATGAGGCTGTTAAAATGCTGCATTCAATATGCCAGCAAATTTGGAAAACTCAACAGTGGCCACTGGACTGGAGAAAGATCAGTTTATGTCCCAATCCTAAAGAAAGGCAACATCAAGAAATGTTCAAATTACTGAACAATTGTGCTCATTCCACACACCAGCAGGGTTATGCTTAAGATTCTGCAAGCCAGACTTCAGCAATAAGTGAATTGAGAATTACCAGAAGAGTAGAGGAACTAGAGACCAAATTGCCAACATTTGCTGGATTATGAAGAAAGCAAGATATTTCCTGGTAAAACAAAACAAAACAAAACAAAACAAAACAAAACAAAAACATCTACTTCTGTTTCCTTGACTACATCAAAGCCTTTGACTGTGTGGATCACAACAAAATGTGGCAAATCTTCAAAGAGATGGGAGTACCAGAGCATATTACTTGTCTCCTGAGGAGCCAATATATGGGCCAAGAAACAAACAGTTAAAACCAAACATGGGACACCTGATTGGTTTAAGATCGGAAACAGAGTACGACAAGGCTGTATATGGTCCCCTTATTTATTTAACTTATATGCAGAGTACATCATGTGAAACACCAGGCTAGAAAAATCAAAAACCAGAATTAGGATTGCTGGGAGAAATATCAACATTCTCACATATGCAGACAATAACACTCTGATGGCAGAAAGTGAAGAGGAATTAAGAAACGTCTTGATGATGGTGAAAGAGGAGAGTGTGAAAGCTAGCTTGAAGCTTAACATCACAAAAACTAAGATCTTGGCAACTGGTCCCATCACTTTCTGGCAAATAAAGGGAAAACAAATGGAAACAGTGTCAGATTTTATATTCTTGGGCTAAAAGATCATTGCAGACAGTGCTGCAGTCATGAAATTAAAAGATGCTTGGTCCTTAGAAGGAAAGCTATGGCAAATCTGGACAACATACTAAAAAGCAGAGACATTACCTTGCAAACAAAGGTCTGTGTAGTCAAAGCTATAGTTTTTCCATTAGCTATGTATGGCTGTGAGAGTTGGACTATAAGGAAAGCTGGGCACCACCGAATCAATGCTCTTGAATTGTGGTGCTGGAGAAGACTTTTGAGAGTCCCTTCAATGGAAAGGAGATCAACTCAGTCAATACTTAAAGAAATTAATTCAGGCTACTCACTGGAAGGTTAAAAACTGAAGCTAAAGCTTAAATACTTTGGCCACATAAATGAGAAGACGGGTCTCCTTGAAAAACACCCTAATGTTGGGAAAGATTGAAGGCAAAAGGAAAAGGGGATAGTAGAGGATGAGATGGAGAGATAGCATCACGGAAACAATGAACACGAACCTGGACAGACTTTGAGAGATAGTGGAGGATAGAAGAGCCTGGTGTGCCCTTTCATCCATAAGGGTCCATGGGGTCATAAAGAGTAGGACACAAGTGAATAACTGAACAATAACAACAACAACAACGAGGTTGAGAAAAAGGCTATTCCCATTCTACTGGGTTCCATCACTCACTCCACCATTATACATAACAATAAATCAACCAATCAATGAACAGATCTTTCTTAATTGCTTACTATGTATCAAGATTTGTGCTAAGGAATATAAATGAAAATGAAATAATCCCCATTCTTAAGGAGTTTACATTCTACTGGGAAGACAATATATGCATTTGTATGTGTTTATATGTATGTTGATAGATGTGTATATCATACATATATTTATACACATACAGTCAAAGGTTAAGCGACTTGCCCAAGGACCCACATCTAGGAAGGGTTTGAGGCCAGAGCTAAACTCCTGAAGCTATGGCCAATGCTCTGTCCACTATGCTGCCAGAGGAGAAATGGAACTCATATAGATGACATGCATTGTATACAGACATCCAATAAACAATTGAAACAGAACTTGAACTCAGGTCTTCTGATGCAGGTCATTGCTCTTTCCATTGTACCAGGTGTGGGCTCCCTCTCTCTCTCTGTTTCTCTGTCTGCTTTCTTTCTCTCTCTGTCACTATCTCCCTCTGTCTTTCTCTGTCTCCATTTTTCTTATTCTCTCTCTGTGTCTCTCTATTTCTGTTTCTGCTTATCTTTCTGTCTCTCTTTCCCTTTCTCTGGTTTTATCTCTGTCTCTGTGTCTCTCTCTCTATTTCTGTCTCTGTGTCTGTCTCCCCCCCCACTCCTCCCACATCCACTTTGGGCCTTGAACAAGGAAGACTGCTTTGAGTGTAGACTAAAGTTGGGGAAATAGAGTTACCTTGTCTCCTACCTGGTCAATTGCCTCCATGAGCACTTAACACAGTGCCTGGCACATGGAAATAAGAAATGCTCGCTGACTTTCTTGTCAGAAGACCCAAGTTGATATCTTACCTCTTCTATTTACTGCTGTGTTACTGTTAGCAAGTTATTTTACAGCCATCTATAACATATCCTGGAATATTGGATTAGATGATCCTTCTGGTCCATTCTTACCGTAAATCCAAATGAGTGTCTGACACTGATCCTCTTATTTTATAGGAATGCAATCTGGAAACTGAGCAAAGGGAAGCGATGTGCCCGACCTCACATGTGATCCCTGAGCAGGGATCACAGTTCAGGGTTTGTTCCTCCAAGTGCAGCCCTCTTTACACTGGGTGCCTAGTTTTCTATCTCTAGGTGAATAAATCTGAAGATGTCTTTCTTGGGCTTTTAAACAGCATAGCTCCTTTTTTTTTTAACATCTCTAGATTATATTAAAGCTATTCATTACGGACCCAGTAATGTGAATGGGGCCCACAGAGGCCTTTCAACTTGCTCAGCTAGAGATCATTTATCCTGTGTGAAAGATGACTGGCTCGCTGATCTGTTTACTCCAGGGAGCGCAATGAAATAAGAAGCTGAGATAGATAGACAGAGAGGCAGAAAGATAGATAGACAGACAGACAGATAGTGATGGATAGACAGATAGATGATAAATAGAGACATAGACACACATAGATACAGGTTGAAAGATGATAGTCAAATGGTAGATTAGATGGATAGATGACTCATATGGATATATATGTGAATGTTTATATACATATATACATATATATATATACACACACACACACATATATATATACATATATATATATGTATATATATATGAGAGAGACAGAGACTGAAGCAGCCAGATTCTGTACACTCAGACATGGATATGCACAGGCACTCACAGGAGTACCAAACGCAGGTTCACAAACATGTGAAGTTCTCCTGGTGAAGGGAAGGCACACAACCCCAAGAAAGACGTGGGATGAGAAAAGGGAACCTTATTCTGGGGGAATTGATAATAACCAGGGAAAGCCAAAAGCAAGGGAGAGAGGGAGGGGCACCAATAGCTGGATAGCTATTCTAGAGTCAAAGGTAAAGAAATCAGGAGGGAGGTTTGGAACCTAATCACCCAAGGTCATAGAGGTAGGGAGGGTACAGTCAACTCCTCTTATTCCTGCCCCAGCTCCCCCCCACCATTTCCCAAGGTACCACTTCCCTCTAACAACCGATAGGCTGTTCTACTTCTCCAAATACAGCTACCCAATGGGTAGCAGCTGGGGCGGTCCAAGGCTGTCTGGAGGTGAGGATGCAGGAACTTAGAGGCCTCGTGGCTTGTTTGAAGGATTTCAGGATACCTTGGAGAGCTTTCCAGGCCCCGCATCTATCTGTGATGCCTTTGGGAGTGGTCCACCCAGTGTAGCCATCCCTCCTGCCTCCCCCCCACCCACACTTTTAAATCCCACCTGGATCACTGGCTGTGTGGCTTCAGACCAGTGAATTAACCTCTCTCCAGGTCTCAGTTCCAGACCTACAAAATGAAGTTGGACCGGCTAGCCTCTAAGGTCCCATCTGCTCTACATCTTTGATCCCTAAGATTCCCCACCCCAAAATGGGGCGCCCCCTCCACCTTGCCGTAAGCACAGGGCTAACCTTTCTGCAGTCCTGCAGGGGTGAAGAGGGGGGAGGGGTGGTGTAGCCTAAGCCCCATCAGCCTAGCCCAGCAACGGGCTCCCGCGTCCTTAGCAACCTGAAAGTGGGGCGGGACAGGGGGCGGTCTCGGCCGAGTCTTGTGAATCTCTGCACCTGATTGGTCCACACCTCTCCTCCCTACGTTTTCCTCCAGGGCTCTAGTCCGTTTGACTCCACCTTCCTACCTGGCTGCAACTTTTCTAGGGTACCCAGTGGAACCCTCTCCTCTCCGAGCATCCTGGGCGCCAAGACCTTCATAGGTAAGCGTCTGGGGATCCAGGGTACCCCCTTGGTGCAGGGAAAGAGCTGAGACTCTGGGCGATTTCTGTGCTTAACCTTTTTCAGCGGAGACGCAGCTTAGCTCAGAGAGCCAGCTGGAGCCAGGGGGACCTGGGTTCATATCCCCCCTCTGGCCCATGTTGGGTCTGTGATCTTAAAAACTTCTTAAGTTGTCTTCTAACAGCTCCAATGGTAGGGGATTTTCCCGAGGAAATCAGAGGTCTGGACCAAGAAAACTTTTGGGGAACACCTGGAGAGGGTGAGCTCCTGGGGACAGCCAGCCATCTCCTGGCTTTCTGCACTTCTCCACAGCTCCTTCCAAAGTTCTAAAGTCACTCCCAGGTTTAAAGGCATTCTACTCTAGAACCCAGGCCTCTTGGGTTCCTGGATGTTCCATGAAAAGAAAGATACTCCATCTGGAGGCTCCAGGCATTTTCTCTGGCTGTCTCCCCCACCTCCATGCTTAGAATGCTTCCCCTCCCCAACTCTGACTGCTGACCTCACTGACTTCCTTTGAGTCCCAACTAAAATTCCACCTTCTACAGGAAGCCTTCCCCAACCCCTCTTAATTCCAGTGCCTTCCCTTAGTTCCTATTTATCCTGTCTCCCCCATTAGATTGTGAGCTCCCTGAGGGCAGGGACTGCCTTTTATCTCTTTTAATATCCTCAGTCCTTAGCACGGTGCCAGGCACACAGTAGGTACTTAATAAATGTTTATTGATTGGTTGATATGGGACCAGGTGCTGGGCAAGAAGGGGACTGGCTGGCAGGGGGAAGGGGGAGAGGAGGAAGAGGGGGACAAGGACGTAAATCTGTCCTTTCTGTGCCTTAAACAAACAAACAAACAAAACACTTTAAAAGAAAGGTTCTTTCCACCGACTACACCCCACCACAAGAATTGCTCAGTGAACACTAGATGGTTTGGAAATTGGAAGGAACCAGATTAAAATGGAAAGAATGTGAGATTTGGAGTTGATGCACCTGAATCCAAACCAAAGTTCTGCTGCTTACTACCTCTATGACTTTGGGCAAGATGTTGGACTCTCTGACCCTCAGTATCTTCCTCAGAAAAATGTTGGCATAGATGACCTCTATATTCCCTTCTAGCTTCAAAGCTTGTGACTCTATGATTCAGTGTTGGCAGTATCTGGCCAGTCTGTTCCCAGGTCTCCTTTAGCTGGTATTGACTTTGCTTTAATATTTGTTTAGGAGCAGGCAGGGTAGATTTATGAATCTTCCCGTACCCATTCCCCACCCCTACCTGTCCTATTTCCTAGGTTACAGAAAACTTGCAAAGAGCCTTTAATGTCTCTAAAGAGACTCTAAAAGTCTGCTGGTCTTGTCCCTTCCTTTCATACTTAAAGGAAAAGAGTGCTAGAATGGTCATGGTCACACAGCTAGTAGGCATCAGAGGCAAGATTTGAACCTAGATCCTTCTGAGTCCTAGTTTGGCTCTTTTTTATCTGAAACATCAGACAGCTTCTCTGTCTTGCACATAGTAGTTAATAAATATTTTTAAAATAAATTAAATGGATTAGCATCATGGACTGAGATCTGGGAGGGACCTCATACCATCCCTAGCCCTGGCCTCTCTTTTTCCATAGGTGGAAGCAAAAAACCCAGAGGGAAGTGAATTGTCCCAGGCTATATACACAAGTAGTATGGAGCCCAGCTGGTATTTGAACCCAGCTCCTCTGACTCCAAATTCTGCTCCTTCCATTCCAACAGGCTTTGGATGGCGCTGGACAAGAAAGGGACAGACCTCTCTATTTGAATTATGCAAGTAACCCCAGCTTTCTTCTTTGCAGTGGAGGGAAAGCAGCCTTGTTATAGCCCTTGGGAAGCTCTGAAGCTCCAGACTGCAAATTTCCAAGGGCAGGGCTGTAGGTGCCTAGTGGGGACATTCCGGAAAGTCATGTCTTCTTCTTGGGACACCCCCTATCGGAGGGCTCCAATGCCTGAGACTGTGGTGAAAATTATTGGGAGTAAGCATTATCGATTTCTGGTGGAAAAGCCAAAGACGTAAGTTGGGGGTTTGAAATATGCTTCTGTTAGGCTTGGGCTGAATTTAATAATGAGTTGTTACATACTTTGGAGGAGATGAGAAAGGAGTCCTGAAATATAGATAGATAGACAGATAGAGATGGATACATAGAGATACACTCAGAAATAAATATAGATATAATACACTATATAGATATAGTGTGTAGAAATTTTTAAAGATACAGATATACTCATATCTATATATTTATCTGTCTATATGAGTGTACCTCTACCTATCTATCTATCTATCTATCTATCTATCTGTCTGTCTGTCTGTCTGTCTGTCTGTCTGTCTGTCTTTGTGCAGTTTTAATCTATTAAAGCAATTAAAGCTTAAAACTAGACTAAGCAATTTGGGCCCATCTGATAACCTGAGAATGCCATTCATGGAAAATCCAACCAGTGACATAAAACTGTGTCTCCTCAATAGTTTGGAAAGGGGCAGGTGAAAGGGGAGAATGGAGGGGGCAGGAACAGAGGGAAGGGATTCTTAATATTTTTCATTTTTATAATTCCCCAAACTTCGTGGAAGTTTTCTTTTCATGATATGTCAGGTTAACACAAAGGGACTGGAAATACAGGAAGGGGCAGGTTGTGAAGGCCTTTGAATGCTAAACAAAGGATTCGATATCTGGTCACTGGAGCTTATTGAGTATTGAGGGTAGGGGGCATGCTATGGTCAGACCTGCATTTTTTTCTTTTATGTATTTATAAACATTCTTCTACTCTTAATGTTGATCTTGAGGTACATGCCTATATTTCTGTTCTCTTAGGGATTAAGGACCAACCTGTCATTTCATTGGTATTTGAGCCCTTAGAGAAGGAAACTCCCTCTACCAATACAGGTTGGCACCTTCTCTGCTACTTCCCATCTTAGAGAGATGCCTAGAGCACCAAGAGGTTAAATGACTTGCCCAGGGTCACATAGTGAGTATCCTTCAGATACAGTACTTGCACTCTGGTCCCCCTGGTTTCAAGGCCAGTTGTCTTTCCAATATATTATGCTGCCATTTGTTCCAAGGAGCAGATATTATTAAACTCCTGGACTCAACATAACCAGCAACAATGTCATCTACAAAAAGATCATCTGGAGAGCTTCACCATCCACAGGAAACCCCCCCTCAAACTTGTACTCTGCAGTGGATATCCTCCGTCACTCCAGAAACTAGGGATATATATATACAAAGAATTAAACAATTCTTTTTTTTACAATTAGTAATTTTTAAAAAATCTATTTTTTAACATTTTTAAAACATCTTTTGAGTTTCAAATTCTCTTTCTCCCTTTTGTTCCTCCCCCACCCAATGAGAAGGCAAAAAGTAGGATAAGCAACAATAATGTAAAACATTTCCATGTTAGCCATGTCACACCAAAACAAAGGAAGAAAAACAAAGAAAGTGAAAAAAACTATACTTTAGTCTGCACTCCGAATTAATCAGTTATTTCTCTAGAGGTGAATGACATTTTTCATCATGAGTCCTTTGGAATTGTCTTGGATCTTTGTCTTGATCAGAATAGCTAAGTCATTCATGGTCTATCATCACTGTGATATTGCTGTTATTGTATCCAATGATCTCCTGGTTCTGCTCACTTCACTTTGCATCCGTTTATGTAGGTCTTGACATGTTTTTCTGAAACCATCCCCCTCATTATTTCTTAATTATGGCTGTCCCCTAAAGATCTGTTCAGTATCTTCTTTTTACTTTCTCACTTGGTGGACTCATCAACTCAAATAAATTACTTTATTATTTCTGTATATTTGTGACATGTTGAGCTTGCCATCCAGATGGAATTGCCCAGTAAGCTCCTGTTGATATGGGACTGGAGCTCAGAAGAGAGACCAGCGATGGATATATAGATCTGTGAATCAACTGCATAGAGATGATTGAACCTCAGAGGACAGGATTATAGTTCTTCATGGTCTCTACACTCAAAGACTCTCCAGGTTGGGTTTCTATCTCATCCTTCTAAACTGTAAGCCCAGTGTAGGCAGGAACCCCATGAGGCTGAGAATTTAATCCAGGTCATACATTAATAGAATCACAGAATTAGAGCTCCAGAGGACTTCAGACATCATCTACTCCAGCCTCCTCTTGCTATAAGGGAAAACTGACCAAGAGAATTTAAGTGATTTGTCCAAGGCCACATAGCTAGCATTAAGCCCAGGATTGTTTAACATACAATGTTAACTCCAAAAAAAAAAAAAAAGGTCATCTAAGTTTCCTTGCTCTGCCCATAGTAGGCACCTAGTAAATGTTACTTGAACTTGGATTTAGATACATTTTAAAAAATTATTTTTAAGAATTACAATGGGAAAAATGTACTCATTTTTGTTTTCAAGCAAGTTTTCCTGAAGGTCACCCCCTTTCTGTAGATAATAAAACCAAAAAACTGAATAGATAGATATATTGTTTAAGAACTCCTAGCAAATCTATGTCACAGTCAAGTTAACTTGGTCTCCTCTCAGTTTCTGACCTTTGAATTTTTTTTTCTACCTCATCATATGTAGCATGGGCTCTAGGGCTACTCTCCCAACTCACATTGGACTAACAAGTTGGTTCCCTAGAGGATGACTGGCTATTTATACTCTTAGGGTTCTAGGGATAACCTTGAGAGGTTAGTGGTGGTTGTTTTCTTACATTATAACTCATGAGCCCCCATTGATGTGCTCTCCCCATTATCACATTATATCAACTAGCCGGCTAGACAGACTTAACTAGGTTTTAGAATCATGTATTTAATAAGGTGATATAGTGATAAAAATTAGTACAAAGCATCCCCCCAAACAAGAGGCTTATTTTCCCACAGGCACACATTGAATCCAAGAGAAACTAGGCTTATGCTTAGATAACCCATAAGGCAAAGTGGTAAGTTATAGTTCTTGGTTGCTAGAAGTCATTTTTCCCCTTTGCAGGATCCTCATGAACTTCTCCTGGTATTGCTTGTTTAGGGTACTCAAAGCTTCATTTTTTAAAATTGTGTCCAGTTTATCCTCAGTTCCCAAATGGCAGATGCTTCCACCAGCCACTGCTGTTCTGAGGATACTACAAGGATGACCATTGAAAAGATCAAAACCTTCCATCCTTTTAAGGTTCCCAAGGTCATCCTCTGTTAAAGGAGGAAGGAAGGTACAGAGATTCTCCTGTGTTCTCCTCCAAGTGATTCCCTCTTAGGACATAGCTCAAAATGTTCTTTATAGGCTTGCTTGCTACTGGAATTCCTGATTTCAAACTAGCTTCTCTTTTCATCCAAGCTCCACAGAGTATAATCAGCTCTTCAACCAATGTCAGGTCTTCCTGACTCCAAATCCAGCTCTCTGTCCACTGCACCATTTATATACCAGTGTTCTGCTTGGGCCCAGAGGTCAAAACCAGAAGCAATGATTGGAAGTCATTTATGAAGTTATGGGTAGATCTATCCCAAAGTATAAAGTGAGCTGCCTTAAGAAGCAGTGAGTCTGATCTGTTGAGTAGATAAACAACATCAGCCACAGAATAAGCCTATATCAAGTAATGTCATGCTAGTGTCCTGTGATTAGTACTGATCATCCCTAGTTTTCTTTCTTCCTCTTCACCATGCCTGGCAGGTGATCACTGCTATTCACATGAAGGACCCTGGGCACTGTGATCAAGTTCAGTCAAAAAACCTTTATTAAGTACCTACTATGTGTCAGGTCCTGTCCAAAGTGTTGGCTATACAAAGAAAGGCATACATACATATATAGAGAGATTATTATATATACATATGTACATACATGCACCTGTATGTGTATTTGTATGTGTATATCCATCCATATATGCATGTATTTCTTTTTTTTTAAAGAAAGGATAGGTATTTGGATTATTTTATCCCATCCAAAAGACAACAAGAACATCAGAATCCCAGAACTTGAGAATTAAAAGGAAAGTCAGGGGCCAGTCCAAATCGTGCCCCAAAATGGAATCTCCACCAGGACACCCCTGAGAAATGATCATCTGGCCTTCACTTAAAGACCTCCCCTGAGAGAGACCCCCACTATCTCTTAAAAGCACCCATTCCTCTTTCATAAGCCCTAATTTTTGAAGATTTTCTCATGACAAAAGCCCTAATTTTCACTTTCACAACTTCCACCCCTGCCTTTTCACCCTTCTATATGCTGAAATTAGATCCCAATTCCAGGCTTTGGCAAGAATACCATTCTCATTCCAGAAGGCACTGGGCACATTAGTGGGGGCAATTGGAAATTGGTGACATAAGTGTTTGTTAAAGTTGGCAGACCTTTATGGTGGCATCTGGTGACCTTTTTACTGCCCCCACCTAGACCTTTCCAAGTTTTATGTTCTGTGGGGGGTGCCTCAGTCCTTTGGATAGATACAACCCACACTGCAGATAAGCAGTGCTAAAAAGGCCAATTTGCTGGAAGATTTGGGTCAGGCCCACAGTGGGCTGGTGAACAGTTGGGCAGGTCTCCTTTCTGAATCATCTGGCATCTTCATCATCCTCCTTCATCACTCTTATCATTGGATGGCGTACGACCAAGCCTGCTGTCCGTTACTATGGAAAGTTGGCTATGTTTCTGTTTCCAACAGGTCTAGCTGTTGCTTTTTTCATCTTTTGAAACTGTAATCACTACTTTTCGTCAAGTTAGACATGAGCATAGAGGCAGCAGCAATGAGAACTGTGAGCTTGTGAAGAACACTGTGTGGTGTTTTCGAACTGGTTGTTTTAATGGCAGACACACAAAGCTTCTGAGCTGGGGAGGCTTTTGCATGGTACCAGCGCCCACGACACACCGCCTCCACCTTTTTTTTTTTTTAAGAGTGTTGTTGTTTTGAAACAGATTTTACTCTGAAGGTATAAGGGGGCTCATTTTGATGTGTGTATGTGCGTTTTATTTTAATCACTGAACAGCTCTCATTTGGCAGATGGGCATCTATGCCCAGATCCTGGAGGCCAACTTCTGACCTGAGACTCTTATTCAGAATTCTTCTTCCAAGGGT